ATATATATATATAAGGAATCCGTGAACCTATATCGAGATACACCAAAATAGAATGACTGCAAGGATGATGATCATGCACCTCGCCACGTGGCCGAGACATACATATACCTGGTCTATCTGTATATATATACAGATATGCACTTGCAAGCATCTATTAACATTTTAGAGGCTACATTTTTTTTTCACCTGTTTTTCACCGGAGTTCCTGCCCTTTCCCGAGACCTACATGTAAGGACGAGCAGCACTCACCCTGCTGCCTGGCAGTTCCTATACAGGCTCTGCAATGTCACCGACAAGTTGGGGCAGAAGCGTTGCTCCCAGGAAATGTGGGAGAGCTGGAGAGACAGCTCCCGCCGGGACAAACTATTACACGACTTTGTTCATCGGTGCTGGCGTCCGATGGACTCGTGTGACCAGAACAAGGTGATTGGACTGATATAGCTCCCTGTGAGATTTTTTCCCCGAGCCTCTAGGCCTTCTAGTGTGTATATATATGAATGTATAAATATATTATATATATGAGGTTGTAAGGGTTATGTGTATATATGTACATATACGTGTGTACATAAGTGTGTGTATAAATCCCAACCCGAAAACTATATACTGATCCCGCTGCTAAGGAACCTTTTTGTTGGTTCATATGCATCTATATAGAACCTGCCTGACAGGCCCACTGCAAGCTAGAAATCCCAATCACGCCCTGATCATCCGCTAGCCTCTCCCCACCACCTATCCGAGGCCCGCCTGGAGTGTTTGGTTCGGCTGCGTCAGCTAACGAAGCAGTGGCGCACTTGCCTCCAGGGGTACGAGTGGCACACGGAGGCAGAGCTGAGGCAGCTTCCGCTGTGGGACGAGATGCTTGCAAGGAATAATTATAAATAACANNATATGTAGATATATACACGCCCATGTGAGCTTCTTTGTTTATACATATGTATATCTACGTACTTCCCTTTTAGGGTGTTACAAGTAGTAGTCTCATGTATGCTACCTGAGCAAGGGAGGCTACAAATGGGTTAGGGGATTTCGTGTAACATGAAACATACAGGTTGTAATACATATATGTATATATATATACACATACCTACCTGTATCTCCCGAAGACCTGGCTGGGAAGATTTCCAATCTGAAGCTTGCAATGCTATGTAAGCACGAACGGGGATTATATATACATATATATACCCACCGCGTCCTATGTAGTTCCATTTTGGATAGTATATATATATTCTAATCCCGTACAAAAATAAAACATAACGGACCCAAAGGAACTACATAGGAGCCAGTGGGTATGTATATATATATATAGGATCTACCAAACAAAAAAGGCTCATGTGTGTCTCCCTACATCGGCGGACCTTAATTTAGACAACAAGGCTCAGGTTTTTCTTGTTTGGTTTCAAGATCTTATGGGAATTATAAGGTTTGTAGGGTTTATGTAGGCTTTATACAGGGTTTCAATAGGGTTTATGGGGTTGTACATGTATGTACGAACAATCCTACATCCCTTTTCTCCTATAGCCTGAGGAAGAAGGTGGCGGGTGCGATTGCGTATTGCTCGAAACGCAAGCTTACCAAAAAATGCTTGTACTCGGGGGACCTGAAATACCTCGTGCTCGTGGATGATAAGGTTGAGGCGGGCGCTAGCCGCCAGCGCTTACTCGAACAAGAAATGGCCGAATCCGGCATCTGGGACACCGACTTCCAGCTCGGTGATTTAATCAACTTAGATGATGAAAGTGAAGGAAAGGGGGGTAGCGAGCAGAAGGAGGAGAAGAAGCGGCTCCCAGACTTTCCGGTGCTGGAAGGAAGCGAAACGCTTCAAGAATATTTAGGCCAGTACAAAAAGGCTTGTTTAAACAAAAAAGCAGCCTTAAAGGCTGTGAAGGACAAGCTGCTGAAGGACCAAGCCAAGGGTCACGAGTCTCTTGGTCTTGCTATCAAGAACTTTTTTCAGAAGCCCATGTCCATTATGGTTTGTATACTTATATGTATGTATTCATATAGCCTGTATATACATACATGTAAATGCATAGCGCGATCTGTTCCGTTTGTTTTTTCTTTTTTTAAGCATCTCACGAATAGATCTATACACATCTATATAAATACCTGTATATAAAATATCGATGACCCTAGAACCATATATACTTACAACCCTATGGCTACATGTGCTGCAGGTCGGACCTCGCGGACCTGGAGACGGTCTTGGGTAGCTTGGACGTACAGTAGTAAATATTTTACAGTAATTAATATATTATATATGTATATGTATATACCCGCAAACCTAATTATTACATGTTGTGATAAAACGTATGGGATTTATAGATTATATATATAGTATAACACCCTCAAACTTATGTGCTTCTGTGTTTTTTTCTCTTATACATACTAGCACCTCTATATAATAAGTCACAAGCAGTGTACCAATAAAGGGAGGCCCATACCTGCAACAATAATGATCGGAAGTCAGCCAACTGATTGAATGCAACATTAAATTTTGCCTCTGCTTTTAGGTTGACAATGTCCCCTACAAATCTGTACAAAGCCCCTATAGTTTACATATGATTTTCCTCATTCTTGTCCACTTACGTCTACATTGTAGTGGATCCAAGCCCTACAATCCCCAGACCTTAAACTCCACACCTCAAATGCTAAGCATGACTCGATAAACCCTGTAAGCCCTCAACCCAGGTGAACCCGGTACAAGCCCTGTGAATATATGTATATATATGAGTAAAAACCACACTATATGAACCCTAGATCTATATTTGTACACGTCTATACATATATGCTCTGAATCTTCAAGGCGAATCCTGGGACCTTATCCCAAAGCAAAATATAGCTTCCTACCTATAAGGCAGTATCCAGAACCTGTACTCCCAGCTCACGAGCCTGGAAGTGACACCGGCCGGTACTGAGCCAGGGACTCATGGAAACTGCTTTGTTGTTTTCGGATGGGTGTGCTTATATTTTGTATGTAGTTCACGTAAGGAAGCCTGCCTTTGCGAAGATCTGCCACGAGATTAGGATTCAGAGCCTCGACGGGTGAGTACATCCTATTTCTTTGTGTCTGTAAATAAAACAGGCATTTCTTCTTAGTGGTGGTTGGCTCCTTTTCCCTGCACGGAATATCAGAATGCCACTGCCCTAGATGATCTGAACCTTGTACGTTATATATAGCAACATATACGCCCCTACCACGAAGGCATAATACCCGCCTATACTGTCGAAAATCCTTGTATAGCATGCCTCAGGTGCTTGACGTTCCACAATAAGCTGCAGCTTGTCAGGATGCTTGTCTTGCAGCCTTACCGTAAGAGGTTAGTGACCTGCAACACTTTCTAACGGGATCTACATTACAGGTGTGATCTATTTGGTATATATATTTTCGGTAAAAATGTTTACACTATAATGTGTGTAAACCATAGATACATAAATGTAAAGACCCCTAACCCTATGAACTCTTCTCGTAGAAGGTGCCCTAAACCTTATAAACCCTAAACTCTAAACCCCTAAACCCTAAACCCTGAACCCTATAAACCCTAAACCCTATAAACCATGTGGCTACCTCAGGACACACCTGCCCAAGGCCACCGCGAAGGCTAAGAGCAAGCCCAAGAATCAGGAAGGTACTGAGTGAAGATGACTATGGTTTCCTGGTTTCCTACAACCTCAACGTTTTAAAGCTGTTTGGGTCCAACCACCCCTCCCCCTATATGGTAGATTAAAATCTTGGATAGGGGTGAGGGGTTGTATGTATCAGTATGGTATGTATACGGGCCCAATTAAGTCACTCAGGTTCATGGGAGATATCGAATGGTGGTGCTGCTGCCGATGAGCCGCAGGATTTAATTTGACTTTTGTGGCTGAGAAGCTGAGAGGATGGCTTCTTGAATGGGGCCACCTCTGCTATGGGGTACATTGCTGCCAAGCCAACCATTTATGTGAAGAGTAAGTGCATGGAGCTGCTCCAACTAGTGGGCTACGGGCGCATATGGGTACATGTGTTTGGTATGTGCAAGATATATCGTCTAAACTCCTTAGTAAGGGTTATATCATGGGGGTATAGTAGTCATGAGAGTGGGAATACTAGAAGTTTATAGAATATGTAGCACACATGCCCCTATACAGAGAATACCTTTGGTCTTGTCACCTGTACGTATATATTGGCTACTGATTCTACATGTAGTCTATACGAGCACAAAATTTCCTTCGATGGCGTCGATGTCTATACCTATGTAATGTGATCCCATAGGTGCACAAGCCTTATATACATATATATATACATATAGATATACAATTAAATGGGCCCTATATATATACCCCCCGTATAAGTCATCCCGTACATATGAGCCCTGAGACCTCACGCTTATCCGGTCCTTGGGAAAATGGTTGGCGAGCTGGCGCCGATGCTGTGAATCCTGGTCAGTGTGGCAGGGCCTCCTATGTCTAAGCTCGCTTGAATGTATATAGTATATAGTCTGTGTATATATAAGCCCTACCTGAGCAAAACAAGAGTTAGCGTGATGAACCCCAAAGGGAGCTGCACATAGGAGCCCTCGGCAAGTAATTTTTACATATAATTATATCTATTCCCTAACACCTAGCGTCTTCATATACATATATAGCCCTTATATAAACCCTATATACATATCCTATGTGGCGCCCATGGAATTCCTTTGTTTTTGCAGCTGATATACCTTATATAATTTTCATGTAAGTCCTTAGCACAGTACATATAGGAAGCTAAAGGAATGCCATGGAAGCCTATAATTATGCGTAGCTTACTCCTGAAGAATGCCGAGCACTGCTGGGTGGCTGTTTAAGAGAGTGTTGCCTAGACACTCGATGCATTGCAGGCGCCTGGATACTGAGTATGTGTTGGGATAGTTTCGGTAGTGTATCATGCATGCATGTTATTCTTCATATCCGGTATGCCACATGTAGAAATGTTTGGGAAGACATATCCATTCATGCCAGTGTCGGCGCGCCTACTGTTGATGGATGCCCATCAAGATCGTGTGATGTGGTGCTACGGGACCCTATATAGACTATAGAGCGAGGCTGGCTTGGTGGAGTGCTGCTAGCAATCTTCACGTATCGCATCAATATGTCTTGCATACGGGTGTATGTGTTGAAAGAATCTATATATGTTATATTATGTTCATATACATTATGATGTCCAGCATAAAGTTGATTGCCTGCAGTGATTCTCCCCCCGGAGCTGTTCATGCCTTGCTAGTCTACGTGACCTGTTTGCCGGTATGTGGCGTGCACCCTGTGAAAAAATGTGCTGTAGTTTAAATTACGTAGTTTGCCTATATACGTATATATATAGATACACAAAAAAA